AAGAAATTTACATGGAACAACCAGAAGGGTTTTCTTTTCCAGGGAAAGAAAAGAAAGTGTGTAAATTGGTTAAATTATTATATGGTTTAAAACAAGCGCCAAAGCAATGGCATGAGAAATTTGACAAGGCAATGATGTCAAATGGATTTAAAATTAATGAGTGTGACAAATGTGTTTATATTAAAAACACAGACAAAGGTTATGTCATTGTATGTCTTTATGTAGATGATATGCTCATCATATGTAGTAATAATGACATGATTAAAACTACCAAGAAAATGTTGAATAAACATTTTGACATAAAAGACACGGGCATTGCTGATGTAATTCTTGGTATGAAAATTACCAAAACATCAAAAGGATATGCTTTGTTACAATCTTATTACATTGAGAAAATACTTGACAAATTCAGTAAAGATGATGATCATCTTGCTAGAACACCTGTAGATGTTAATTTGTATCTTTCTAACAATTTACAGGAAAGTATTTCTCAATTAGAGTATGCCCAAATTATTGGAAGCTTAATGTACTTGATGAACTGCACTTGCCCAGATATAACTTATGCAGTGAGTAAATTAAGTAGATATACGAGTAATCCGGGAGTAGAACACTGAAAAGCAATTATAAGGGTTCTAAGATATCTCCGATTTACTCGTAACATTAGGCTTAATTATACTAGATATCTAGCAGTACTTGAAGAATACTGTGATGCAAATTAGATATCGGATACTAGAGACTCGAAGTCCACCAGTGGGTACGTTTTTATTCTTGGTGGGGCGGTTGTATCTTGGAAATCTTCCAAACAGACTTGTATTGCTAGGTCTACTATGGAATCAGAATTCATAGCTTTAGACAAAGCTGGGGAAGAAGCAGAATGGCTTCACTACTTCCTTGAAGATATTCCAATATGGCCAAAACCGGTGCCTGCTATATGCATATATTGCGATAGTCAATCAGCTATAGGTAGAGCACAGAGTCATATGTATAACGGTAAGTCTAGACACATTCGTCGTCAATATAATACCGTAAGACAACTACCTACTAATGGAATTATTTCCATTGAATATGTGAAGTCCAAAGACAACATAGCGGATCCAGTAACCAAAGGGTTAGCAAGAGAGTTAGTTGAGAATTCATCGAGGGGAATGGGATTTAAGCCTATTAAATAAGAGTTACCACAACGGCAACCCAACCTAATTGACTGGAGATCCCAAGATCTAAGTTCAAAGGGACAACTGAGTTGTGAATGACTCAGAAGGATCACTGGGGAGTCTAACTCCTACCTATTTCTATGATGAAATAGTGATATTTGCAGCGTATTTGGTTAAGTAAAACTTTTAATGATTCTTATATCTAGGTTAAACTAATGGAGTATAGCATGATACTCTTCATAAGAATCACCTATGTGAGTGTGAATTGGGCCGGTTCTATGAGATTTGTGAAGGGCTACAATGCTCTAGAACACTCATGAAAGAGTAGGTTGTTCAGGGCTAAAATGAACACAATAGTGAGAACTAAACTGTGTCTGGGGATATACTGTGTGAGTTCTATTGTCTTGGTTTACACAAACGGCTGAACAGTTCAAGACATCATGTTCACTAGTTAGCTAGTAAATTCGATAGTGTCTCACAAGGGAAGGTCCAAAGCCAAAAGCTACCTATCCTTTGCAGAATATTTCCAATTTCTGTACTCTCTGTATTTACATCATGTTGTTGCATTTTCTCTCTGTCAATTTCATTCATGTGGGGGATTGTTGGAAAATTTATAAAGTGGTAGTTGTGAATTGAAATAGACTCCATTTTGAATGAAAGGGTGTAGCCTTTCATGGTGTCCTTTTGTTTTAAAGGAAGGGTCAAACATCCATTTGAATGAAATGGTGCAAACTTTTTATGGTGTCCAATTTTGATTGATTTCGAAAATTCATTTTCCTTGCCTTCATTTTGCTCTCTTGCGTCCTTTATTCTTCATATTATTTTAGAAAAAATTTCAGAGAGGTATAGAACGCAAGGTTCTAGTTCGTCGGACAAATTTGTTTGAAGTGCTACTACATATTTGTGAAGATCATTGTATCCTGGAAGATAAATGCCACATAACCGTAAGCACTATAGCGGGGCGAATCTGTCTTAAGGACAAAGTGTCACACACTCGACTTGGTCTTTAATTATTTTCGATTCAACAAAATAAATTCTGTAAGTTTTATTTTATTTTGTTTGAATTATTTTAATTTATTTTATTTACACAGAAAATTGTGCCAACATATATCATATGCTGAATAGTATAGAACATTATTATAAGATTACCAAATAATTTTTACAAGCTCTATGGCTTGCCCATTGAGGCAACTATGGATGATGGACATAATTTAAACTCGTATTTGTTTGATGAATTTGAATAAAAATTTAAAAAGAAAAGGAAAAAAAATAAGTAAAATGTGATTTTACACACTTTTTCAATTATTTAGTAATTCTAATAGAAGAATTTATTATTTTTGTTAGTTTTCAAAAAGAACAAACGCATATATCATATGTTAAATAGTGTAGAACATTATTTTAAAACTACCAAATAATTTTTACCTCTCTATTGGGTTTTTAAATAGTCTACAATGATTCGTCTGGTGAAAAAGTATGTTGGGTTAATCTTTCTTTCTGGTAAAAATAATTAGTTTGTTTGATTTTGAATTTTTAAATACAATTTTTTAACTTTTGGGTTTTTGTCAGTTAGTTTAGGCTGGGCGGGGCTTGGACCCAGCGTAAGTTAATAATAATTATAAAAAAAAAAAATTAGTCATGTTTAATTTAGTTTTCAAAATCTGTTATTTTCAAGTAGTTTTATATTTTTGAAGGTCAAAAATAAATTTTAAAAACTCAAAAATATAATTTTGATGTTTATTTTTGTCAAAATAATTTCAATTTTTTTTATAAAAAAAAAATTCTGAGAAAATCAAACTGAACAATGTCTACTAGTCCGCTTCGAAATCAGGTCTAAAACTTCTATATGAAGTTCTGCTTTAAAATCAAATTATAATTTGACTCACCCAAAAATAATTTTGTACTTAAGTTGACTTAAATATTTATTTTTTGTTTGTTATATATTCTTCTTTTTTCTCCTAAGTTCAAAACCCTTTTTAGTGTATTTTCATTATTTAAAAAGATAAGTACATTTGCTATAATATATAAAGTGGCCAAACATGGTAGAGTTATTTTATTTTATTTATTTATTTTTAATAAGAAAACAGGGTAGAGTTGGACTCAATAACTACTCTCAAATCTAGACTATTTAATAAAGGGTTTGGTTATGGTGTGCAACTTACACCTTACACCTTATACCTTACACTTACACCTTACACTTACACCTTTTGTAAAAAATTAAACCTTACACTTACACCTTTTTTGAGGTTGCACACCATGTGCAACCCACTTACACCTTACACCTTACACTTACACCTTACACTTACACCTTATACTTATACTTACACCTTACACTTACACTTTTTGTATAAGTGGCACATGGTGTGCACTTGCACACTTAAGAAAACTCCTTTAATAAAATATCTAAAAATTCTTTCGAGGTTGCCTCTATGGACTTAAATATTAACTGACTGGAGTGATATTAGGGATCTCAAATAATTTATCAAATTTTCTATTAAATTTGAGACCTACACACATGTGGGTTTGTGTGGGTCCCACACTCATGTGAGAGATTTAGTAAAAAATTTAATAGATTATTTGGAGTGTATAGTATTTTTCAACTGACTGTACCAATATAATTTTGGAAAAATAAAAGAAAGAAGAAGAAAAGAATAGGCCTAGTTTGGGAAGACTAAATAAGTGTACTTTTTGACTTTTTATGAAATATGGGTTGAGTTTGAGTTGGGTTTGAAGTGATGTATTAGAGAGGCGATGTGACTTAAATAAGATGATGTGACTTAAATAAGATAGTGACTTTTTGTCTTTTTTCAATCATGCCAAACTAAGAAGAAAAGACGACCAAAAAAAAAAAAAAAACAAAACAAAACTCCAAAGTAATGAAGAATGGGCTGCAAGTAAAAGAAGGGAAGAACAGGCCTATCAGGGCCCGGAAAAGTAAGTTTTGGCCCAACCAATTTTTAATCAAATAAACATGGTCAAGGCTTTAGGTCCCGTAAAATTTCTTATGCCATTCTTTGTAAGCAGCAGAGTCCAATTAGACAATTAAACGCTATGGAGATTATGAGGAATCATCTTGTCTTTTAAGAATTTCAATTAAGTAGTGTGTCTTTTTAATTCTATTAGTTAGTTTATGTAATAAATAGGAGAAAAAATAAGAAATAATGGGCATATAACTAGTAAAATTGCAAGGGCATAATTTTTCGGAGATTATATATAGGGAAAATTACTTTTCGGTATTTTTATAAAATTATTACATATTTATGAAAAAAAAATTATGATTTTAGTTATTAATATTTATGAAGTTTATCATTTATTTGTAATTATTTTTCCAAACACCCACTGGTAATTTATTTTCCCTTACATACATAACTAGATTAATATGGAGTGATTCAAAAATAGAAAATTTATATAAATTATGATATATTAATGACCACTTTGAAAATATAAGTCACATTGACGGATTTTTATTTTTAAAGTGATAGAAGAACCTAAGGCATTCACATCATTTTGGACTAAAATTTTATAATTTTTGTTTGTTTGTATAGCACTACTATTCTATTTATGAATATGATGTATAAACAAAAAAATTATATAAATTTTGTATGTAGAATGATGTGGCTGGATTGAAACTTGTCATTTTTAAATATAATGCTCATTAAACGATAATTAATTATAAAAATGTGGCTATCGCATTAATTTGAAAAAAACAAAATTCTATATAAAAATCTTGCAAGATTTTTTTAATTTTTTTTATATTTATTTTTTCTCAAGTTACAAAATTTTGATAGTGTTTTAAAAAAAAAAAAAAAAAAAAACCCTCATGCCTCATTCACTTGCAAATACATGGATTCATTCAAGTAAATATACACAAAATGGTGTAATAGGCACTTCAGTAAACATGAGTCTCATTACAATAGTGCTTGAAGAGACTATATTCGTAATTCAAACTTACAAATGATATACTGTTGGATCAAATTACGTTTTCGTTAGTATTATATGTATGTATAATACTATAATGCATAGTATAATTTAATCTATACTTATTAATCCTCAACATGTCTCTATGGTTCTTTGTTAAGACTATCCCAATACATTTTCTCCCAAGTCTCCACTTGTTTCATTGATTTAAGGTTTTTCTTAACAAAGGCATCAAGAACATGAGGTTCATAGGGGGGAGGCAATGTGCAAGGGCTTGTAATAGAAGGACCCTTCACCAAAGACTCCATCATGAACTTCTTCTCCAATCCTTGTGCATTGCAAGCCATTGTCTCTGAGCAAAATTCAACAGCTCCTTTGGGTATTTCAGGTTTGAATGTTAAGAGTTTGGAGTATTCATTTAACAAATGAAACATGTAATCATACACATAGTCCATGTTGAGGTCTTGTTGAATGAAGTCACTAGCTGCTTTTCCAATGGCTTGAGCCTAAATGTATGGCAGATTAAAGTATTAACAGATGAAATTAATGAAGAATGCAATCAACAAATAAAATGTTTTTTTTTTTTTTTTTTTTTCGTGTTTATGGAAACAAAAAAATGAGAAGTCTGAAAATATTCATGACTTTCATATTATTTTAATTTTTTGAGAAAAGTTTGAAAAATTCAAAAATAAGTTTTAAGTGGTGTTTGATAACGTTGTCATTTTCTTATTTTCTGTTTACAAAAACCAAGAAACAAAAACATTTTTGATATACACAAATGTTTTGGAAAGAAATATAAAAAAATATATTTGTTTTTTAATTTTTATATATTTTAATTTTCTGTTTCTTTTTTTATATTTTAAAATTGGCATTAATTCCATTTGTTTGAAAACAAAAATAACATACTAAACAAATTTTAATTTCGAGTCTAAAAATAAAAAAATAAAAAAATGGAAATTACCAAACAATGCCAATTTCTTAAAAAGTGAGTTGTTTTTGGAAATTTTTCTCCTATTTTTAAAAATAGTTCGTCAAATAAATTTTAAAAAAATAAAAAATAAAAACATAAAACAAAAATAAAAAAAAACAACTAAACAAGCTATAAATACCTTTTGTGTGTGATTGTTGGCCCAGTCAACTGCAAATTTTAGAGATCTGCATTTGTCATCATCCCTAATAGGCCAGTAATGTTGAAGTGGCTGTAGACCTCTGATGAAAAAATCATAGTAACGGGACCTCACAAGCAATGTAGCTGAATCACATGCTAGTATATACTTCTCACTTACTGACCATGCCCATCCCTCTATATAAATCTTGTATCTGCATACATGAGTTTATATATGAATATGAGGAAAAAATGGATAAAAGAGAAATTTAAATTCTAAAACAAATATGGTTAATTGGTGAAAAGTCCATTCCTATGGGGCCATATGTTTAGTCCAAGGTTTAATTTTTTTTTTTTTTGGTGATATGGATATTTGTTAAAAAGTTGTTAGAAAAGTCATCGACCACAAAAAGTTGGAGAGATAGGTGACATGTGATGATATTTGAACAGATAGACAAATAAATAAATTTTGAACAAATAAGTGTTCTTTTGAACATATAATATCCTTTTGATCCAAAAAAATTTAAACTTAGGTCTATTGGCCCGATAATTTCAAAAATGAACCTTTGGCATAAGTGCCCAAACAAATAAATCCATTTAAGTGTTCTTTTTGGGACCAAAAAAGGGACAAAATTAACCACCAATTAAATTAGGACTTGTCATACATACCTGTAAGTGCATTGGCTTGCTGGGTCTGATTTCTTAAATCCTTGTTTAGATTCAAGATTCCAATCCTGCATATATTATACATAAACGTATCTTAGTAACTTGTCCAAAAAATCTTTGATCCAAACAAACAAATGGGTTGAACAATTGAACTAAGAAATCTTTGATCCAAAAAAATCTATGCTGCTAGAATTTGAAGAAATTTTTTGAAAAATTGAACCAATGATTTCCACTTGTACTTATTAATATGTGCTCTACTATCTTTCCATCTAGTGATAAGAAAATATATGTTAAAACAATCTAGGCATTTATTGGTCTGGTTGTTAGTTGAGTACCACACGGGTAATTGTAATTGGCTGAGATGTGATCTTATCACACCGGATTCTGAAATATTCGGAGAGGGATTTGAGTCCTAGTTGAAAACAGATTTTTAATTTGGATAAATTAAGACTGTTGTAAGAGGTTTATCTCAATCTAACTAGGATAGATAAGTTCTGAATAAGTGTTATTTCTGATTTAACTAGTGATTTGTTATTTAGCCGATTTATCTTGTGAGATGAGTGCCCTTCTGGTTAGTAGGTATTTTGATCATTGTTGCAGGTGTTGGACTTATCTAGTGCACGTACTCTTCGACTTTGTTCCCTAAATCTCAGAGTCAAATTCTGTTTGGTTGTCCAAATACGTAAAAAGCTATGTAAAAGTCATAATGACTAATCAAGCATGAAATATACTTGGTCATCAAAAGTATGGAAGTGAAAAAAGGCTATTGCGTATTGGTGCAGTGAAAAAGCATCAATCCTTAGAATTAACCAAGCTGAGGCTATTGAGGCTTGTATCTCTTTTTACTGTATACATTAATACATTTATTTTGCCGATAAAATTAAAAAAAAATAAAAAATAAAAAAATACACTATTGAGGCTTAGCATCCGAATTTGAGCCCTCACATCATATCATATGGACTAAAAGGTACCTGAACGAAGAGGCGAGCATTCCAATCGTATTTGTCAGAGACATTGCATTTCAAGAGGTCTCTCCTGGTTCCGGCTACAAAAGGATTTCCCTTCCAGTAAGCAAATGGTTCCCTCTCCATCCATTTGATCCTCTTGTTGCCTTCTTTTATCTCCTTCAAAATACTCTCCCATGGTTTTATGTTTATTTCAGCCCTATTATCATCAAAACAAGTATATCTATTGCTCCTTCATCAGAAATATGAACACATCATCCCATGCATGCTTTTTAAAGATTAAAAATTGCTATATGCTTGGTTGAGAATTTATTAGATGAGAATAATGTGTCAAAATTATAAGAATAATGCTATATGTGCTAATTCATATACTGTAATTAATGTATCAATTGATAATGTGACATAATTTTAGATATTTTTAATATTCGTAATTTATATAATGAGTGAAATCAATAATAACATCATAACTAATATTGATATATTAATTAATGTAAGTAACACTATTCAAATTATGAAAAATGCTTCGGACCCCAGTGAAATGGCGCGATATGATTGGACAAAAAAAAAACTATTTTATTTTTTATTTTTTATTTTTTAAGTTTCAGCCAGTGGGAGCTCGCCACCTCACTGGAGTCTACAGCAGCTCTCCCAAATTATAATAGAAAGGTGAATCAATTTTGTTACAAACAAAAAGAAAAGTCACAAATAGAGTAGAACCCTGTCACTTGGCTTGGACTGACACAAGTCTTCCACTGATTTTAAATAGGAATCCGGATCCTCGGCCGCCCTACCCGGCAGCCCCCCAAAACGACGTCGTTTTGGGGGTTTTTTGTTTTTTTTTTTCTTTTCTTCTTCTTCGTTCTTGCTTTCTCTCTCTTCTTCGCAGAACCAGAGGGGAGGGGAGGGGAGGAAGAGAGAGAGGAAGGGGAGGGGAGGTCGTCGAGCTCGCCAGCCGGATTCGCCAAACACTCGCCGTCGCAGGTCGTCGAGCTCGCCGTCGAGTCGTTGAGCTCGCCAGCCGTCCGACGTCGCCCGACGCCGTCGCCTCCGCCTCCGCCCCGCCCCGCCTCCGCCTCCTCCTTCCCCACTGGTTATGGCCCCCTCCTTCCCTTCCTTCCTCCTCCTCCTCCTCCCTCCTCCTCTTCCTCTCTCGTCCTCTCCTTTCTCCCTCTTCCTCTGCGCTTTTTTTTTTTTTTTGAAAATTTGCCCCCAAACGACGTCGTTTTGGGGGTGCCGGGTAGGGCGCCGAGAATCCGGACTCTTTAATAGTGGGGTTCACACTTTTTAGATATGGTAAATTATTTTGTACCAATCCACAACAAATTCATTTTCGGACCGACGCTCACCTTTGATTTTTATTTTATTTTTATTTATTATTATTTATCTATCTAGGTGCCTAGGCTTTCTTTCTTTTTTTTTTTTTTTTTTTTGATGGAATCAACTTGGTCGTCGTTTGGGAACAGATTTTTTTAGTAATTTTTTAATTTTTTTGATTAAAATAAGATATAAAAAAAATTAGTATGTTTAGGATAACTTTTTAGCTTTTTAAGAAAAGATGTGCAAAAAGTAGAGAGAAAAGAAAATCTTTGACTTTTTGGTATAGGTTGTTGACTTTTTAATAACTTTTTGACTAAACCGATCACTTTCCAAACGAGACCTAAAAGTAGGTTTTTTTTTTTTTTTTTTTTCCGTTGAATTCCACCTTTATTTTTTTACACATTTTTAAAAAAAAAATTGAAAAGTTAACGTTAACCTACTTAAAACAAGCCAAAATCTACCTCAATTTTAAAAATATTCACTAAAAAAAATACATAAGAGAACGGGTTACAGGAAAGTTTTGGTGCATCACAATTTGGTGGGGCAATTGTTTTTTTGTGGCAAAGAGTGAAGAATTGTAGTGATAAGGTCAAAGAAATACAAAGATAAAAATTTGTGTAAGAAAATAAAAAAATCAAATGAGACAATGGGTAACTATCCGACTTGGATATTTTAAAATGAATTTCTACCCTTTTTTTGGATAAATTATAAATACATCCATGAACTTTGATTAAAATACAAATCACCCTTTGTAGTTCTCGAAATTACATTTCACTCATAAAATTTTTAATTTCATAACAAATCGCTCTTTTTATTAATAAATCAAGTCAATTAATAATTTTTAACGATATTATAAATATGTTTCAATTAATAATTTAAATAACTTTATTATTATATAGGATAACAATTATGAATTTTTTTAAATTAATTTTGTTAAATAAAAAAATTTAATAAAAATATTTATAATTTTTTAAAATATAAAAAATAATCAATACTTTAAATAAACCATAATTTAACATTCTTTTTTCTATAATTTAACATTCTTTTAAATTTAATGACACCATTAGTAAGAAAAGGACCTAACAGGAGTATTGGGTGGCGACAATGACCCATGAGTTCAGGTACATCCCACCACGTTTCCCATAGCAGTTTTCCCCAGTGGTGAATTGGGTGGCGACAATGACCCATGAGTTCAGGTACATCCCACCACGTTTCCCATAGCAGTTTTCCAATAGGGCTGAGCAAGGAATCCGTGAAATCCGTAATCCGATCCAGTCCAGTCCAATCCGATAGGTTTGGATTGGTTTTTTGAATCCGTGGTTCGGTTCCGGATTGAAAAATTAAAAATCCGTAACAAAAGAAGAAAAAGCTAATTTTTTTTGGTCACTTTTGTTGTCACTTTTTCTTTTCTCCATAAAAATTTATTAAAATTTGTTGGTTGGGTATTATTTTTTAGATCACATTATTATTATTATTATTTTTTTTTTATAAAAAATATATTTATTTAGATCATTAAAGCAAGAAAAGAAAAGAAAAGAAGTATAATTTACCAACCCCAAAAGGACCAATCAGGGAAGACAATGTCCATCGTCCACCGGTCACCACAATACCGAAACAACGGTGGTGGGGCAGTGGCATTAGGTCCACCAGGGTAGTCGCGCGATCGGACAACCGGTCGATCATTGCAGTCAAACATCAACTCCAAGTCTGGCAACCTCCCCGGATACCTCCTTAGGAGCTGCAAAATCCCCCATAATGTAAACTCACCTCTAGTCTGTATTGATTTCTTGTACTTCTCTACATAAACCTTTCCTTTCACTATCGCCACCCTAAAATGAGCCGTCCTCTTCGCTCTCTCCACCATCTCTCTCGTGATCCCCGTCGCCTTAAATGGTCGTAAATCTTCGTGTATCCAACGTAAAAAATCCGGGCATGTTGTCTGATTAATATCAGTTTCAAACATTGTTGTTGGATAATTTCCTGGACATGTTTGAGTCTGGTTTCCAATTGAGCATTTGAGTGGGATTTCAACTCTCTTTGGGACTTCTCTATCCTCTTTTGGGATAATTTCAGCTTCTTTTTTCGCTTTAGCAAACGAAAAGGTAGACTGCAAAAGTAGTTACACCTTAGGTGGAATTGACCTAAAAGTAGAGATGTTAAAATTGTTTGTGTTGTTGTATGACATGATGTGTTAAAAGTCAGGCTTAATTTTTTGTGTTAAAATTTGTTAGTTTAGTGAGCGTGTGTAGGGTGCTAGATGCTAGGGAATAATTTTATTTCAAAATAACTGAAAAGGGAGTGCCAACTGAGGAGCGGTATGTATGTCATCAGGCGGTGTCTGGTGAGTATAAAATTGATACTAATATGAAAGAGAGTAATTCTAGGGATAAAGAATTCAGACACGATCACTGTGGATGTAAAAATTGGAATTTTATGTCCTTGGAAAAGGGTACAGAATTTATAAACTTACAGAGTTGATCCAAGAAGAAGATAGGAGCGCGGTGATGAGGAGGACGAAGAAGAAGAAGAAGAAGATGATAGCAGCGTTAGTGATAGGCCATTTCTTTAATGGCTGTGGCCACCATGTCGCTGCAGTGGTAGAGATCATTTGCCTGTATGGCTCAGTTTGCTGCCATATGGTACTAAAGAGACTATGCATGCTCTCAATTCACACACAATCTGTTTTCTCTGTTGCGTTTTGTGCCCAATAAAATTCCAAGCATATATATCTGATTCTAGTGGTGGTAGTACTAATAAAGCTAAGATTTGGAAGAGTTTAGATACTGGTTGGTTTTCCAATGGAGTTGAATAATCTATCTTCTTTGTTTTTGTTTTTTTTTTTTTTTTTTTTTTTTGCAATAAAAACAGTATAGTTGAATATTCTACCTGTTTGCAATAAAAAGTATAGTTGATTTGATGCGACAATTTGTCATCAATTATTGTTGAATTATTTATTATTGTATAGGGACGGGCAATGGTGACTGTCCCAAGTTTTGGAAAATCTAAATACTATTCTTTTATTTTATGACTATTTATAATATATTTGACTTACAAACTAGTTTATTGACACGTTTTCCGTAATAAGTAAAAAAAAGTTAATTTATTTAGGTCAAGTTTGGGAAGACTAAATAAGTGTACTTTTTGACTTTTTATGAAATATGGGTTGGATTTGTATTGGGTTTGAAGTGATATATTAGAGAGGTGATGTGACTTAAATAAGATGATGTGACTAAAATAGGATAGTGACTTTTTGACTTTTTAAATTTTTTAGAGGATACCAAACTTGGCCTTAGTATAAACAATCTGTAAGTCTTGTTTAAAAAGTTGAATATTTTAATAAATTATTTTATTTTTTGATTATTTTAATAGGTTAAAATTTTTGTGTTTGAAAAGATTATTGAATTTTTTTAAAATTATTTTTTAATTTTTTCTATCAAAATAGCCAAAAAAGCCTGAAAAAGCCCTTGCCAAACACAGGCTTAGTATAAACAATCCGTAAGTCTTGTTTAAAAAGTTGAATATTTTAATAAATTATTTTATTTTTTGATTATTTTAATAGGTTAAAATTTTTGTGTTTGAAAAGATTATTGAATTTTTTTAAAATTATTTTTTAATTTTTTCTATCAAAATTTTATTATGTTCCATTAAAAATGACACTGGGTCTTAAGCGGGCCCATGCGCCGTGCCGGATTTCAAAATGACTGCCCAGGCTTAACCGGGCCTAACCCACCCCGGACCACGTGCCATTTTTACACCCCTACTAGCCATCAAGGCAAACATGTTTGGTGGAGCGAATTTAAACCCGAGTTAGTTGATGGATTTGGAAAAAAATTTTAAAAAAAAAAGAAGAGAAAAAAAAAGTGAATTATGATTTCGCACACTTTTTCAATTATTTAGAGCATTTTCAATGTTTACTATTTTGTTTCATTAAATTTGAATAAAAATTAAAGTAAAAACTTCATCTGATGTTGAACGTTCTAACAAAAAATTTTGATTTTTTATCAAAGCATCAATTGATCGGGAGGACGGTCTGGTGGATGTTCGACCGGTCGACGTTTGGTGTAAATTGACCACAACCTGCATGACAATTTTGCAAGGAATAGATTATTCGGGAGGACGTCTAGCCCAACGGTCACCTACAAATTTTATAAAACGCTCTAGATATTTTTAATTTGATGAAAAGTTTAAGACATTTTCAATTTGATATTGATTTGATATTATAATTAGAATACCAAAACTAAGGCTCTGTTTGGTTGTTTTAAATTTGATAAAAGAAAAAAAAAAAGTAACGTTGAAAACGATCTTAGTAATTCTAAGGTAAATACATATGGTGCTTTAATGTTTCCTACTGATTACAAGGGAAGAATTTATTATTTTTGTTAACGCAACTGCAGGGTAGCATTAGAATACCAAAACTAAACTTTTTTTTTTAATATTTAAATTTGATAAAAGAAAAAAAAAAAGTAACGTTGAAAACGATCTTAGTAATTCTAAGGTAAATACATATGGTGCTTTAATGTTTCCTACTGATTACAAGGGAAGAATTTATTATTTTTGTTAACGAAACTGCAGGGTAGCTCGAAACTTGCCTACCCCGAATGGCTCGAATATGAAAAACAGCATCGTTTTCAAAAAAAAAAATTTCATCTTCCTTCGTTTCTCTCTTTTCTCTCGACATTTGAAAACTCACTCTAACAAACAGAACCAGAACCTCCTTCATCTTCTTCCTTTATTTTCTCTCTCTAAAAATTACCAAACTCACCACAAAATTGAAGCAAGATGATGAATAGATCAACAAGATGATGAACAGATCTGATTTAGGAAAAAAAAATTTATGTTGAACAAATTTATGTTAAACAGATCTGATCTGTTTATGTGAGATGAAGTTAAAATAAAAATTATGAGTTAAAACTATGAAACAGATCTGATCTGTTTATTCTTTATAATTTTAAACTTATGGTCTATGCCCATTAAGAAGATGATGATGAACATATTAGATCTTTTTTTTTTTTTTTTGATTTTCAAATTTTTTTTTTTTGAAATAATAATAATCAACAACATCTTCATTAACAGCAACATCTTCATCAATATCATTGCCATCAACACATTATCATCGGCGAACATCTTCATCACATCTTCATCAACAGCAACATCATCACCATCAACACATCATCATCATCAACATCTTCCTCCTCCGCCATCACCGTCTTCTTCTCTTCCTCCCCCTCTTCCTCTCTTCTTCCTTCTCTATTTCTCTCTTTCTCTCTCTCTGTGGGTTTGGTTCAACCTTTGAGACAGAAACGAGAAATGGAAAGGAAAGAAGAAGAAGAAAAAAAAAATCAAAATCAAAATGACGTCTTTTCTGAAAATCCGGCCATTAGGGGAAAATGTTTCGAGCTACAAAACATTTTCCTTTTGTTAAAACAACAAAGACAAATATCATGTGCTGAATAGTATAGAATATTATTGTAAGATTACCAAATAATTTTTACAAGCTATGTGGCTTGCCCATCAAGGCAGCTATGTTTGATGTATATATCATTTAAACTCGTGTTTGGTTGATGAATTTGAATAAAAAATTAAAAAGAAAAAGAAAACAAATAAGTAAAATGTGATTTTACACACTTTTTCAATTATTTAGTAATTCTAATAGAAAGAATTTATTATTTTTGTTAGTTTTCAAAAACAACAAACACATATGTTAAATAGTGTAGAACATTATTTTAAAACTACCAAATAATTTTTACCTCTCTATTGGGTTTTTAAAAATAATCTTTGGTAGCTCGAAATTCGGTGGCTTGAAATCCAAAACGACGTCGTTTTGGATTTTGATTTTTTTTTCTTTTTCTTTTCTTGCTTTTCGAATAGAGAGACAGAAAAGAGAGAGAGAAGGAGAAAAGAGGAAGAGAGGAAGCGAGAGAGAGAGAGAAGGGGAAAAGATAGAGACGGTGATGGCGGAGGAGGAAGATCGGCGGTGATGGCGGTGATCGCCGATCGCTGATCAAAACTCTACTTTTTTCTTTTTTTTTTCCTAGTGAATCTGGATCTGAAAATGATGTCGATGTTTGTTGTTGATAATGATGATGATGTGTTGATGAAGATGTTGATTTTTTTTTTTTTTTTTTTCTCTTTCCTGGTGGATCTAGATCTGAAGATGAATGGGGAGGGGGGAATTTGTAGAAAGAGCATGTTTTGATGAAGATGGTGTTAGCAATAGATCAATGGGGTCTGGGTGATAAATGTGTTGTTGATGGGTGATAAAAAATTTGTTGTTGATGAAGATGATGTTGTTGTATTGATGAAGATGATGATGATGTTCTGTTTGTTCTCTCCCTCTCTCAGCTTCTCTTCTCTCGTCCTCCTCTTCTTCATTCTTCCTCTTCTTCTGCCAAAAAAAAAAATATATATATATCCAAAACGATGTCGTTTTGGACAATCGGACCACTCGAGTAAATGAAATTCAATCTACAAAACGAGACTGAGTTTTAAATAGTCTACAATGATTCCTCTGGTGAAAAAGTATGTTGGGTTAGTCTTTCTTTCTGGCAAAAATAACTACTTTGTTTGATTTTGAATTTTTAAAGACAATTTTGTAACTTTTGGGTTTTTTTTGTCAGTTAGTTTAGGCTGGGCGTGGTGGCTTGGACCCAGAGTAAGTTAATAATAATTAAAAAAAATAAAAAATGGTCATGTTTAATTTAGTTTTCAAAATCTGTTATTTTCAAATAGTTTTATATTTTTGAAGGTTAAAAACAAATTTTAAAAACTCAAAAATATAATTTTAATGTTTATTTTTGTCAAAATAATTTCTATTTTTTCAAAAAAAAAAAAAAAAAACTTCTGAGAAAATCAAACCAAACAATGTCTACTAGTCCATTTCGAAATCAGATCCAAAACTTCTATCTCAAGTTCTGCTTTAAAATCAAATTATAATTTGACTCACCCAAAAATAATTTTGTACTTAAGTTGACTTAAATATTTATTTTTTGTTTGTTCTATATTCATCTTTTTTCTCCTAAGTTCAAAACCCTTTTTGGTGTATTTTCATTATTTATAAAGATAAAATAAAATAAATTGTATATGTACATTTGCTATAATGTATAAAGTGGCCAAACATGATAGAGTTTTTTTTTTTTAAATCAGAAAATAGGGTACAGTTGGACTCAACAACTATTCTCAAATCTAGACTATTTAAGCTTCGTTTGGAAAGTGGGTTGATTTTTTGACTTTTTGGTTTTTGTGGCTATTTTAGCCTGGGGCTAAAAAGTCTGGTTTGAGAAGGGTTTTTGACTTTTTTGTGAGATAATGAATGTAATGATTATGAGTTGGATGTGATGTTTTGTTTTATTGGACTAAAAAACCTATTTTGTTTTTTGTGACTATTTAATAAAATATCTAAAAATTAAATATTAACTGACTGCACCAATATAACATCTTTCTAGTAGTGCTTTTTGGTTTTTGTGGCTATTTTAGCCTGGGGCTAAAAAGGCTGGTTTGAGAAGGGTTTTTGACTTTTTTGTGAGATAATGAATGTAATGATTATGAGTTGGATGTGATGTTTTGTTTTATTGGACTAAAAAAATTATTTTGTTTTTTGTGACTATTTAATAAAACATCTAAAAATTCATTCGACTCTGCCTCTATGGACTTAAATATTAACTGACTGTACCAATATAATTTTGTATAAAAGAAGAAGAAGAAGAAAAGACGACCAAAAAAAAAACAGAATACAAAAACAAAAACAAAAACAAAACTCCAAAG